GGCCAGCAGCCCCCCTGCTCGGGGTGCCCCTCTCCGCAGCCCCCGTTCCCGGTGTTGCGCGGGCGGGGGAGCGGGATGGGGCGGCAGGATGGATGGATGGATGGATGGATGGGCTGCCCGGGCGGGCAGCGCTGCCAGGCAGCGAAAAAATCCTCTTAAAGGGACCGACCCTATTTCCTCTGCCTGCCTGCCAGCAGGCCCTGAGCATCTCCGGCGCACACGCCTGAGCTTTGCCAGCCCTGCCTCCGCACCCCCCTGCTCCCGTTCGCATCTGGGACACCCCTCCCCGCAGTTCCTCCATTGCCACCTCAGCCCAAAACCCACTGAATGAGCCCCAAAACTCCCTGAGTGAGCCCAAGACCCCCTAAACCCACTCCTGCCCCCACTCTGCCCTGCACTGACCCCCGTGCAACCACCCCTGGGTGAAACCAGGGCTGCCACACAGAGCAGTGCCTGGGAAACCCACCCCGGGCACCCAGAGCTGGGGCTGGTGGGGTGAAAACTGGCCCCAAAGGGTCTTGATATGGGGTTGGCTCCCCAGGGCTTTGCCCCCAGCACACCCTCCCCTGTGCAGCTCATCCTGCAGGATCTGCCATCCCCCTGCACCTCCACCGTGCCTGGCTCCATCCTCACTGTTACTCACACCTCTCACCCACCACAGCACTTAAGCACGAAAGACATATGGAAATGAGTGGCACTAACAAGAGTATTAATTAAAAAACCATCTGTTGAGCCAAGGAGAGCTTCCCCCCTCCCACAGCCAGCCTTGGGTTGGGACAGAGCTCGGGGCAGTGGTTTGGCCCCCTGGCAGAGCACAGTCAAGGCAGGGGAGGCCGTGGGGCAAAGCAGCCCACGGGCTGGGCCAGGGGAGGGCATGAGGAGGTAGCCATGGAGCCAAGCTGCACACAGAGGTCTTGAGTCATCTCCTCATGGAGCAAAAGGCACATGGTACTCGCCCAGTTCACTCTGCCTCCCACCCCCAGGCCACTCACCATTAGCAAGTCTCAGCCCAGGCCCCCTCTGTGCGGTGCCAAACAGCCCTGCTGCCCTGCAGGTGGGCACAAGGTGGGCCTGGGAGGGACACTCTTGATGCTAAACCCCTTCCTGTTCAGCTGCATGAGTCAGGGCTGGGAGATCCTGAGCCCAGGCTGGTGGCCATGCAGCAACCAGAGACTGCTGCAGCATCCTGCTGGGGAGTCATTTCAAGGTGGAAGGAAGCAGGGATGGAGTCCAGTGCCAAGCCAGGCTTGGTGGGTAGTGCCATGGGCACATTCAGCATCCCTCTGGTCTCCAGCTAGGACCTTCCTACAGTGGCTGTGAGTGTGTCCCCGTGGTGGCTCACACACTTCCAGGACAGTGGCAGTGGCAGAGGGAGCCTGTCCTGGTTCTGCCATGGATGTTCAGGGCCAGACAGCAAGGCAGCCCTGCAAGGGTGAGTCCAGAACATCTCTTCTCCTCTCAGACGGCAGCCTCGGGATGGATGGAGCTTATGGAAGCAATGGAGACACGTGGTGGAGGGAACAGACACCCAGGGTGGAAGCCTCCCTCAGCGTGGGGCCACAGCCCTGGATGGCCCAGCTCTAGCTGGAGGAACCTGCGAGGGGAGCAAAGGCAGCAGATGCTGAGCTGTTTGCAGCCCCCAGGAGTCAGTGCCAACCTTTCCCGCAGAGCAGCGGCCCCAGGGCAGGGCTGGCACCGCCGGCACTCACCGCAGGGCACGTGGCAGTCGCACTCGCAGATGTCACAGCGCTGGAACCAGCGCGCCCAGCCCGACCGCTTGGTGACACAGGACGAGATCTTGATGCAGCCGCGGTTCAGGGAGGCCCCCAGGTGGGCCTGGGAGCTGCAGGACGACGAGCACTTCCCGGTGATGTCCCGCTCGCTGATCTCGATGCGACCCCGCAGGCAGATCCCTGCGGGAGCAGGGACAGGGCGCGTCAAGGGGTGCCCACCGCGGGGCACTTTCCCGGGGGAAAGGGGGTCCGGGGGCACGTCTGCAGCCCCGTCCCCGTGCGGGCAGGGGGCTCGGCGTGCCCCCCGCTGTACTCACGGAGGCAGGAGGGCTTGGGGGTCCAGCGGCCGTCGGACTGGCAGGCGCTGACCGGGTCCCCCAGCAGCAGGAAGCCGGGCCGGCAGCTGTAGCGCACCACGGAGCCCACCCACCAGTCGTTCCCGTGCACCACCGAGTTGAAATCCGCCTCGGGCCGCCCGCAGTTCACTGCCAACACGGAGGGTCCCGTCTGCCACCGCCCTGTGCAACCAGCAGCCCCAGGGGTGCCCCAGGCAGGGCTGCGGGTCCTGGATGGGGACCAGGGGCTGGGCAGGATCTGTGTCCCCACGTGGCCCCAGGGCCAGGCTGCTGCAGGGACTCACACACATGTGTGTGTGGCACAAACCCTGCCCTCCTCAGGCTGCCCGTGCCCAGCCCTGCAGCAGCCCCAGGACCCCCGCCCCGCTCTTCCCACTTTGGTTTTACCTCTGCAGAAGGATTTGTAGCCCAGCCAGCAGCAGCTGCCGTTCCCACACTGGCTCCTCTTCAGCTCCTTGTGCTTCCCCTTGCAGCCCCCCACGCAGATGGGGGCTGTGCCAGACCAGTAGGTATCCAGGTCTTCTGGTGCCACTGAGAGCAAGGCTGGGGGGTGAGGACCACCATTCCCCCCAGCTCCCCAGCCCTCAGAGTCCCACAGGGAGGTGTTTGAGCCCACCAAAGCTCCTCTCAGCCCACCCCCAACCCTCGCTGTGGTGAGTGCCCTCACTCCCAGACTCCAGCTCCCACTTCTCCTGTGCCAAGCCCCAGCACAGGGGTGTGGCAGAAGTCTTGCTCCTTACTGGGGAAGACTGGTCCAGCAGCTCTGGGGGACCCTGCAAGCCCCTCATCCCCCCAAAAACACCCTGTTACCTTCTGGGTCCTCGCAGGAGACCAGCGTGGCCAGCATGGAGAGGAAGAGGAGGCCCAGTGCCATGGTGCACACTCTGCCCTCCTCCCCTCGCCCCTCAGACCACAGACCCCCCTCTCTGCTCGCCCAGGAGAAAGTGAACTTGGTTTTCCATACACTCACACACAGGACAGGGGCTGCTGTAGGACATGGGGGAAGGGAGGAGACATTCCCGCTAATGCCAATCCTCTCCCCAGCAGATAATCTCTGGCAGATTTACCCTGCCTGGACCCGGTGTTTAAAGGGACAACTCCCAGCCATTACCAGCCTCTCCTCCACTCCCAGCACCCACCACTCCATCCAACATAATGCAGGCACAGCCCTGGCTCTGGCAGGACTTTGGAATGAGGGCCAAGGCTGGGAGTGCTGCGAAGGCAAACCTGGCACAGGGCCCTTCTCTCGAAGGTATCCTTGGCCCAGCTCTGCCAAGGACCAGGGAGCAGGGAAGGGAAGGCTGGGCAAGGCCTGAACCTTGCATTCCAAGCCCAGGGATGCTCTGCCTGGATCTAGGAGCATCCTCTGGCCTTCTGTGCTGCCAGGGCTGCTGGGACACCTCCCAAGCACCGGGTGCCCAGTACATGGCCCTACTTGTGTTCCACTGCCCCACACCCCTGGAGAGCACAGTTTTGGGGTGCAGGGGTGCACATGGCCCTTCACACACGGATCCAGCCCCAGGACACCTTCAGGCAGCTCTGCCCACTTCATCCCTGCTCCATACCCAGCCCCTGGATGGCACCTTGCACAGCTCAGTGCCCCCCACCCACGGCTCTCATCACTGCCCCATCCCAAGGGCACAGCCACCAAACCACAGCCAGTGGGTGCAACTGGAAAGTGAGCAGATGGCCAAGGGTTTAGGATAAAGGGATTTCCTCCATTAAACTGGAATTCCAACAGCTTTTGCTCAAGCTGCTTGAGGAAGGAGCAAGGGGAAAAACTCAGTATCCAGCAAGGTGCCTCCCTGCCTCCACCTGGGCTCAGCACCTCCACACAGGGTAGAGGGCACAGGAGTCACCTCAGGGACCCCAAATTCACACTGTCCTTGTCCAGTCACTCGACAAAGGACAAGCTGGCTCTGCTCACAAATCCAGGCTACTCCCTGTGTTCACAAAAGGCCAGAGCAGGCAGCAGACAGCCCTGGAGGAGGCAGCAAAAATCAAACCCACAGCAGGAACAGGAGTGCCAGAGCTAAACCTGGCCCTCCAGTGCCACCTCTGGGGACATGGAGCAGCACACTCCAGTGCCAGCTGCACGGTGTCAGGAGATCCTGGCAGCTCTTCAATGCCCACCTCCCACACTGCAGGCTCAGGGTACTCCAGTGTCACCTCCTCACACCACAGCTGGCAGGGATGGGGCTGGAACACACACCAGACACTGCTCAGCCTTGCAGCCTGATCTTTATTCGTCGTGCCAAATTACACTTTGCCCAACCAGGAGCCCAAACCCCAATGTGGGGAGGAAACCCAGGGAATGACAAAAGCAGAAGGGAAGCTCCCCAGTGTCCCAGTGCTGCAGTGGCCTGCATGGGACAGCACCTCCAGCCCTCTCCTCCCAGACACTCATGGGATCAGGGGTGCCAACCAGGAGAGCTGATGTGCAGGGACGTGCTGATGAAGGCACTGCCATCCCCTGGAGAAACTCTGGATGGGCAAGGACACTGCTAAAGGCCACACATCTCCCCAGGGAAGAGGCTTCAGCACCAGTGTCTGCTCCACACACCATCCAGCCTGGAAAGGTCCTGGCTGAGGAACAGGCTCAGCAAGGGACCACATCACCCATGAGCTACCTGGGCCAGGCCTAGGCCAAACCTCCTGGGAGGGTGGGAGAGGCTTGCTAGTCCCTAATCCCCAAGAGGAGGAGACAGACAGCCCTTCCCAGCTCACATCCCTTGATCCACAGCTGAGAGACCTGTCCTTCCCCTCTGCCCATGCTGCCCAGAACCAGCAGCCAGCCAGGCTGGGGCAGCACAGGGTGAAGACAAGCCCAGGCCTCTCCCCAGGCACCCCCCAACCTCCCCCACCAGCACATCCCACGGAGGCCCAAGTTTTCCCCACGCACAGAGGCCTGGGAGCACCTCACACAATCTGGATGCCCAGCTCCTCTGCTGTCTTCTGCAGCCTGTCCATGACATTCTCCTCCAGCTCCACAGCCAGCCCTGCAGGGGCTGGCCCCTGCTCCTCTGGGGCCGTGCTGGCCATCACGTAATACACAGTCTCGCTCTCCCCGTGCTCGTTGGTCCTGTTCACCACCCGGATGATGGGGCTGCTGGGGGTGCTGGGCTCTTGCTCTGAGGACAAAGCAGGCCCTGGGAAGGTGCTGGGCTCTTGCTCTGACGACAGTGCAGCTCCCTGGAAGGCGCTGGGCTGTGCTGGCTCAGGGCTGCCAGCAGAGCACGGGGCCGGGCACAGCTCAGAGCCCCTGTTCTCCTCTGCCAGGGGAGCGTCTGCTGGGGGCTCCAGGATGATGCCCTGCAGGTTGCCCTCCCCCTCAGGCAGCACCATGCACTCAGCTGGGCCCTCGAGGGCCTCCCCACGCTTCTCCCTGTCCTTCAGGAGCTGCTCTGTGAGCTCCACGCTCTCGTAACGCACCAGCTGCAGCCGCATGTAGCCGTCCTCGTGCTCCCTGTACCTGGGACACACAGGCAAGGGGATGGACAGTCACACTCCCCTTCCCAGGAGACAGGAACAGCCAAGGAAGGGGGATTCTAGGTTTCAAAGCCCTGTGCTGCATAGATAATACTGTGCAAGTAAGATAAAAGCCCTAAACCCACACCCACGTGGCAGCTCCCGAGCTTTGCGCCACGAGCCTCGATCATCCCCCCAGCCCAGCTCCCCCCAGCACTCTGCTTCACTGGGAGCATTTGAAATCCATCCTCTTCCCCTCCCATCTCTGGAAATCCTTTGGAGTTTCCTAGAGAGCATAGAGCAGAGGCACATGCCAAGGGATTGACCTGCAGCAGCTCTCTCTAGAGGGGCACAGCTGGAGCTGTCCCTGCCAAGCTCAGGAGTGTCCCACTGCTGCCCTTGCCCCAGATCTCTGACCCAGTGCTGGAGCTGCCTCCCAGCACTGCCCTGTCACTGTGCCAGATCCCACTGAATGTTTACTGCCCAGACACTGGGCAAAGGGTCTTGAGCACACTACAGACATCAGAGCCCAAGCACTGCCAGGTCTGTGCTGCAGCAGGACACAGGACGCAGCCCCAGCCATCCCCTGCCCTGGAGAGGAGGCAGAGGGGAGCTCAGCACAGGCAGTACCTGAAGCGAGGGTGCCCCGAGGGCCACTTGAACTGGTGCTTCTTCCTGAGGTGCACAGTGAGGTTGTTCCCACGTGTGAAGCACTTGTCACACACGTGGCACTTGTACCGGGGCTCCGAGTCACCCTGGGGGGGCACAGAGAGGGCATGGAAGGGGGAATCAGCTTCTCTGGGAAGACTGACACGGGGTAACAGGAGCAATGCAAGCCCTGCTGCCTTCCCACCTCGTGGACTTTCCTGTAGTGCAGCTTGATGGAGCAGAGGGACCGTGCAGAGAAGCTGCAGGCCTCGAACTCGCAGCGATACGCCGGCTCCTTGCTGTGCGTGTCCAGGTGCTTCCTCAGGTCAATGAGGTTCTTGCAGCTGGAAGGCAAGGGGGAGGGAACAGAGCTGTGAACGTGGCAGCACGTGCACACACCTGCCTCTGGGAGCAGGGAAAGCCCTGGCCCTCACCTGTAGTCACAGTAGTCACACTTGAAGGGCCGCTCCTCGCTGTGCCGGAAGCGAATGTGGTTGCGCAGGGAGGAGGGCAGGGGGCACGTCATGTCACACAGAGGGCACTTGTAGTGGTTCACTGTGCCAAGGACAGGGGGAAATGTGACCCCAAAGCAGGGCAGAGCACTCACTCCTCAGGGGCTCAGCTAGGAGAAGGGGCCTTTACTCACCGTGGTTCCTCATGTGGTCGCGGAGCAGCCTCTCCGTGGCAAACCTCTTGGAGCAGTGGGAACACTGGAACCTCTGCTCTGGGACAGGGAGGAAGGGGGGGGTTGGTGAGAAAGGAGATCAGAGCAGAGGGAACAGCACAAAGAGCAGCGAGTGAGAAATAGAGGTGGTTTCAGAGGAGCTGGAAACCCTTCTCTGCAGGCAGACACAGCACACACTGACTACAAAGCCAAACCAAAAAAAACCCCAAAACAACACTTGCAAAGACCAAAAGGCACAGCCTCCCAGTGCAGAAACTGGGGAGCAACCATCACACACACTGTCAGCACAGGGAATTGAGCCAGCAAATCCCAGTCCCTGCCTGGGACTCTGCAGGAGGAACAGTTCTGGCTGAACAGTGTGAGCCCTCCAACCTTGTCTCTGCAAGAGGACACTTCTCAGAAGACACAGGCTGTGCCAGGGGAGGGTCAGGTTGGACATCAGGAAGAATTTCTTCCTGGAAAGGGTGGTTAGGCATTGGAAGGGGCTGCCCAGGGAGGTTTGGAGTCTCCATCCCTGGAGGTATCCAAGGAATGACTGGGCTGGGTGGCAAGGTGGGCATCGGGCACAGGTCGGACTGGATGACCTTGGAGGTCTCTTCCCAAACATCCCAGCCCCAGGAATCCCCCCCTGCCCCCTCCCTGCCCCCTGGCTTACGGTCCAGGGCGGTCTGACGGCGGATGTGGTCGAAGAACTTGGTGTTGTTGGCAAACATCCCCCCACAGGTGGGACAGGCCACCACCTTCTCCTGCGTGTGGCTGCGCAGGTGCTCCCGCAGTTTGCAGCGCCCCTTGAAGCTGCAGTCACAGTCTGGGCACAAACAACAGCACAGTGAGACCCCTCACAGCTGGGCCATGACACACAGCCTGACTGATTGCCAGCCTTCTTCCTTCTCTTTGGGGCAGCAAGGCCCCAAGAAAGCCCAGGGAGCAGGGGCACAGCAGGGTGAGGTTGCTGGTGTACAACTGGCCCAACCCCTACCAGCAGTTGAGGCAACTGCACAAACACAGGGGGAAATTACAGATAAAATCAAACTCCAGCCTTTTTCTTCTAGGGACTAATCAAATATTAACGAGAAGTTCGTTGTCAAGCACTCAGCTGGATGCCCCGAGGCAAATCCTACAGGACATTTCCCTGTCAGCACTACGGACACACATATTTTTGAAGGTCCAGGGGCTCCCTGAAACCCTCCCAGGGAGCAGAGAGCTCTCCTGTGCCACATTTGCAACCCAGCCCTGTGCAAAGCCCCTCTGGAGAGGCCCTGGAGCCACACACAAACCTTTCCAGCCACAGAGCACCACATGGTTCTCCTTCCCTGCTGCCTTGTACTCGGAGCAGAAGCTGTGATCCTCCACGTGCCGGTAGAACCACTCGGGGTTATCAAAGGATCTCTGGGGAGGAAGGACAGAAAAAACAGGGTCAAAAAAAGAGATCAGCACAAGCTCAGGTGCTTTCACACGGGCCCCAGCAGAGCCAGCAGGTCGGGGTGCAGGGCAGCAGCAGCTCTCCCTCCCTCGGTTAGACCAAGCCCCCTGTTCTCACCTCACAGTACTCCCACAGGCACAGGAAGTTCTCCTGGATCTCAGGGATGATGTTCCTGCTCTGGAAGTCCAGCTGGCAGTGGCTGACATCCCCCTGGCTCTGCAGGGCCCGCAGCCCCCACTGCTTGAGCTTGGTGTGGTAGCAGTGGAAGTAGACGTGGCGCACGAGGTCGGAGGGGCTCTCCGGGGAGCAGAACCCACAGTCCTGCCACAGGCACGTGTACTCCTCTGCAACACACAGAACACACACAGCCTGAATCACAGGATCATCAGCCAGGCTGGGAAACACCTCTGAGATCACCCAGTCCACTGGCCAGGGGGAAGCCCTCAAGGGGAAAAAACACCACGGGGGTTTTGCTGAGATCCAACTCGGTGCCTCCCCACCTGAGCACACACAGCCTTTGCCAGCTGCTGCTCTTGGTATTTTTCACTTCCTCTGAAGGAAAAGAGTAACTACACTTCAAAAAAGCCCAGTAGCCTCCCCTGGGAAGGCAGGTCACGTGACAGGCCAAATTATCTCCAAGCCAGTGCTGGGGGAAGCAAAATGCAACAGGCAGCACTGCCCTGCTTAGGGAGGGGAGGAGGAAGGAGGCCAGAAACCTTCTCTTCTCGTGGAATCACAGGTTGGAAAAGACCTCCAGGATCATCCAGTCCACCCTGTGCCCGATGCCCACCTTGTCCCCCAGCCCAGAGCACTGAGTGCCAAGTCCAGTCCTTCCTTGGACACCTCCAGGGGTGGGGA